GAGGGTGAAATTCGTGCCATGCTTTGATTCGACGCCTAAAGGGATTGGCTAAGCGGTCAAGCGTTTAGTTCGGATGCAACGAATCCGTCACTCTATGTGGAGCCTCGTGAGAGCGATCGTGAATGGAACAATTCATATGCTTACATGGAAATTAATCAAGTCAAAAGTGCAAATTCTCGTGTTGATATAAAAAATGTCATTTTAATCTTTTGTCACTTACCTCGAATCTCGGTGATTGTCTTCTTTATTTTGAATAAGTTGGTGACATTAGGTGTTTAGCTGCATCATCTCGACCATCACAATGACATCGAGCAAGTTGCCCTACTCAACTTTTAAATGGTATAGCTTTAAAACAGGGATTATCAGATACGTGATCGCAATATTATTATAGCATATATGCACATAGACATTGCATCATAATTCAGAAGCAATTATGTCAATAGACGATTGGGAAAGATTGATACACCCCAGTGAGATAGAATGATCTTATTTGAACCAATCCTACCTAATCAACAATACAGTTTTGAAATTTTATTTGTCAAGTGGAGCCTTCGCCCACTTCGACGAGTTCACATCTTCGAGCGATCTTAAGGGCTTGGTTCCACCATGTCGGCCTAGTGCGTTCAGGATTTTACTCTTGGAGTGTTTCCTGCGAGAATTGAGTTCAAGATCGCAAGAAAAGAAGCAAATTCTCTTGCCATATAAGTCAATGTCTTATCGGAACCATTGCGAATTTTTAAAAGAGAAACAATCTACCGAGGCACCTACTAAATTTTCTAAAGTTCCCACATCCAATCTTGAGCCATGACGTAAGATAAGAAAATGGGTGACTTTAAGCTAAGTGACTTTGCCACTTTATCTGCCACCTTTTGTTTTTTCTTATAGAAAAAAGAAAGGAAAGATTATATTCCCACAAGATAAATCAAATTAAAAGATGATATGGACAGAAGCCACTCAAATGAAAGTTGCAAACAGCGAGAAATTAGCAAAGGGCCCTCGTAGAGTCCTAGTCGTAGTAATCTATGAAAAGGTGTAGTCCCTTTTTCCAAAAATTCAACAGACAATAAATAATACCTACTTTTTTAAAGATCAAAATGGGAATTATTCACTTGCCCATTCGAATGATTAGTAATTACAATTTCACGTAAAATGCAAACAATTAGTGACAAAAGTAATATAAAAGGAAAATAAATGGATGAAGTTCACACGATAAATTGTAAGACTCTTAAATATGATTGTCATAATTAATTCATTACTTTAATATAAATTAGGGATAATGACACAAATAATTCTGAACTTTGGTCTAATGTGCAATGTAGTCCATGAACTTTTAATTTGTTCAATGTGGTCCCTGAACGTTAGTCTAATGTTCAATGTGGTCCATGATCTTTTGATTTGTTTAATGTGGTCCGTGGACTTTTGGTACTTGTTCAATGTAGTTCATGAATTATATGAAAATGTTTAATATAGTTCCTGGTTTTGAATTAATGAAAGGATTAATTGAACACTTTCATATAATTCACGGACTACATTGAATATGTATAAATAGTTCAGGGACTGCATTGAACAAATTAAAAGTTCAGGGATCGTATTGAATATTAGACTAAAGTTCAGGGACCACATTGAATAAATTAAAAGTTCAGGACTACATTGCACATTGGGCCACAATTCATGGACGACATTGAACATATACAAATAGTTCGGGGACTGCATTAAATAAATTAAAAGTTCAGGGATCACATTGCACATTGGGCCAAAATTCATGGACTATTTGTATCATTTTCCTTATAAAATTGGTAAGTGGGTCACTAGTTAAGGCATTTTCACTTTAATCCATATTAAATATGATTTTTGAATGTAGGGCTACTCCTTATTTTATTTATTATAGATGATCTCTTATCGCTTAAACAAGTATTGATGGCGTCCTAAGGATGATCTCAAAGTTCTTAACAGGGTTGGATTCGATGAATTTTCTTTCCCAATTCAATTGATGGCTTGTAGCCACACGAATATAGTCTGAAAGTGGATCAACTATTGAGAAATTTTTCACATTTCGCCATTATGAAAAGAAGTTAAAATGTCCATCTTTTGTGAAGCTACCATTTCTTCTATAAACTAGAGTCAAAATTTCCACACTCATAAAATTTTACTTTTGGAAATTGTGATCACGTTATTATCATGCGAGTTTATGGTTATGTATTAATAATAAATCAGGTATGATTCTACCTAAAATAAAGGAAAAATGCGGGCGTTCCAAAATTGTCCAAAAGCAATTTGTAAAATATTTTTAAAAAAAGAGAGAGATATACACAAATGCATGTGGAGAGGCGGAGATCAAAGAGATATAGATAAACATGTAGAGATGCAAACTTTACTATAATCATGTACATTAGCAGAAAAATAGAAATACATATATAGGGTTAATATCATGAAAAACCCTAAACTAGTACACCTGTGACAAATTCACCCAAAACTAATTTTTTGACCACTAAAAATCCCAAATTGGTACACTTGTGACAAATTTACCATCCGTTAAATTTTACTGTTAAATTTCTGAGTTTGATGACACGTGACAGGTAATAGGTGTACCAGTTAGAGGTTTTACCCCTTCATTTATAATATGTTTATCAATTTGTCATTTTTCGTAGTATTAATCTAATTTAATTGATGGTGAATTTGTCACAAGTGTACTAGTTTAAGGTTTTTGACGGTCAAAAAAATAGTTTGGAATAAATTTGTCACAGATGTACCTATTTAGGATTTTTGTGATTAAAAAATTAATTTAGTTAAATTTATCATATATATATCATTATGAGATTTTTCGTGGTATTAACCCATATATATTTCGTAATCAACACTGATGCATTTGTCCCTTTCAATTATTATTCGATTTGATTATTTTACTCTAAATAATAAAAACTCAAAAATTGACGCGAAATTGATTGCAATACTTGCCAAAGGTTCCATGAGTGGGGGCTTTTCGTCTATCCCTCTTGATTTGGCCAAGGACACGTGTGAGTCCTATCGATGGGACATTTGGGAATTGGTGGGAAAATTATTAGATAGTCCTGACCTTATTGCACTTCACATAAGTCATATTAAATCGGGTGGGTTCTAAGAATTTTTTTAAAAAAACGAATAGCATTCATCACAAAAATCAGAAAATTGAAAGGGGATAAATATTAATAGAGAAAAGGCCAAAGAAATCGATTTAGGCTTCGACTCCCAACATTAAATTGGACTCGACTTTTCACGAAATGTCAGTATGTCGACTCGCAGTTTCTTGTTTGTGTTTGTTTATATAAGAAAAATTAAGTAATGGCTCGTTCGGGTTAACCAAATCATACCGATACAACTTGATTATACTATTTTACACCTATACATACTCGAGCAAGCCAAAGAGAGGGGGACACTTTCGCTCTAGCAATTAATGGAGTGATGGAGACGAGAAAAGAGAAAAGGGAGTGCACCCTATGTGAGGTCGGGTGTCATACTAATATGCTTTAGTCTGCTAGAACATTTTTCCCCTCCCTGTCACTTATTTACATAACTTGTTTTTTTTTTACATCTTTCTTTTTTGTAAAATATATTTTCAGCGGGGAGCGTTCAGAGGTAAGTCCGATATCAACCCCACCTCGCCTCGTCGGGACCCCACCGGGCACGGCGAGTTGGTTTCTTAATATCGTCTCTAGTAACTTTCTTTTTCCCGAAGATGGTAATACTTAGGGAAAATAGCACAATAGTCTCTCAATTCTGGGCCAATGCGCAATATCATCCATGAACTTTTAATTTGTTTAAGGTGGTCCTTGAACTATAGCCTAATGTGCAATGTCGCTCCTAAACTTTTAATTTTTTCAACGTGATCATTGAGCTTTTCGTGCATGTTCAATTTAGTTTCCTAAACTATATGAAAATATTCGATGTTGTTCATGAACTTGAATCAACAGAAGGATAACATTACATATTTCTCTATAGCTTAGGGACTAAATTAAATATTTACCAAAAGTTCAGAGACCACATTGAATAGATCAAAAGTTCAGGGACGATATTGCACAATCGGAATAAAGTTCAGGGACCTTTTATGCAATTACCCTAATACTTAAAAAAAAAATTAAGTGAAAGGTGCCATAATCTTACTAAATATAGGCCTAATTCCAAAAAAATAGCATCAACTTTATCTTGAGCTACAATTCTTGTCCGAACTTTTTTTGTCTCATAAAAAATCACAAATTTTCACTTAAATTCCAAATTTGGCCGGAACAATTTGAAAGTTTCATATCACGGGGGCCAAATTTGAGACTCGAGTAAAAGCTGATGCTTTTTATCGAGATAAAAAAAAGTTCGGATCAGAATTATCACTCTGGATAAAGTCGTTGCTGTTTTTTTCGCCAATACATGGAAAAAAAAAAACACAGCGGGTTATCGAGACAGCAAGCCCTCCAAAGTGGGTCGTGTTTTTTATTTTTATTTTTTTTTTTTTTTGTGTCTTTTTGCAGACAAGGACAGTAACTCCTCGTTTATTGAGAGGGCTCGGGAGGTGGGGGCGGGACTCGGGAGGGACAAGGGAGCAAAAACGCACAACCCCGAGGGCCTGATTGAAAAAGAAAGACCACAATAATAATACGAGGGGGCCCATGTGAGTGGGGCCCCGCCCCTCCTGTCACTCGCGGCAGCAGTAGCGTTCGCCCTCGCCCTCCCCCTTCCCCCCCCTCCCCTCCCCCCCTCCTAGAGAGAGAGAAAAAAAAAACACACGCGCACAGAAGAGAGAGAAAGTAGTAGAGATAGAGGGAGAGAGAAGAGAGGAGCAGGCTAGAGAGAGAAAGTAGTAGAGATAGAGGGAGAGAGAAGAGAGGAGCAGGCTAGAGAGAGAAAGTAGAGATAGAGAGAGAGAGAGAGCTGTCCTTTACAGACTGTAGTTACTCAACACCCACCAACCAACACTCTCCACCTGACCTTAACCCCTCACCCCCACCCCACCTCCACCCCCCCGCCCCGCCATTTTTAACCTCACTCCTCTCTCTCTCTAGCCTCTGCACACACACTCTCTCTCTACTCTGTCTCTCTCTCTCTCTCTAGCCTCTGCGCGCAGACCCACCTCGCGAATTCGTCTCCGGCTGCTCTGCAGTGTCCGATTCCCCCGTAAAGTTCCGATTTTGATCGGGGAAGCAAACCCTTAAACCACCCACCAAGTCCTCCGCCGCCGCTCCCGGCCTCGCATTCTCCGAGATTCGCCCCGGGGCTTCGTGGGCATACCCGCCAAATGCGGCGCCGCTAGGGTTTTGCCGCCACCTCCTCCTCCAGATGAGTCCCTCCCTGTCCGCGTTCTCCGTCCTCCTCCTCCTCCTCCTCCTCGCCGCGGTCCGCTCCGGATCCGAGCCCGACGCCGCATTCCTCTTGGAGTTCAAGAAGGGGATCCAGGTCGACCCGCTCGGGAAGGTGCTCGGGTCATGGGCCGAGCCCGGGTCGGGCCAGTGCCCCGGCTCGTGGACCGGGGTCACCTGCGACGGCTCCGGCGCCCGCGTCAGCGGGATAGCCCTCGACCGGCTCGGGCTCTCCGGGGAGCTCAAGTTCCAGACCCTGATCGGCCTGACGATGCTGCAGAACCTCAGCCTCTCGGGTAACAACTTCACGGGTCGGATCGCGCCCGCATTGGGCTCCATGGCCTCGCTCCAGCATTTGGATCTGTCCGGCAACAGCTTCTATGGCCCGATCCCCGCGAGAATCACGGATTTGTACAATTTGAACTCCCTGAATTTGTCGCTGAACAGGTTCGTGGGCGAGTTTCCATTTGGGATTCGGAACTTGCAGCAGATGAAGAACTTCGATTTGCACGGGAATGCTCTTCGGGGTGATATTGGCGAGTTGTTGACTGAGCTGCGGAATGTGGAGTATGTGGATTTGAGTGGCAATTACTTCTCTGGGAGTATCTCAATTGGAGTTCAGAATGTTTCTAGCTTGGCAAATACAGTGCATTTTCTGAATTTGAGCCATAATGCCTTAAATGGTGGATTCTTCGATGCTGATTCGATCAGATTGTTTAGAAACTTGGAGGTTTTGGATATGGGCAATAATACGATTACTGGGCAGCTGCCTTCGTTTGGTGCATTGCCCAATTTGCGGGTCGTACGATTGGCAAATAATCTGCTGTTTGGGTCATTGCCGAAGGAGTTGTTTGAGTCATTGATTCCACTGGACGAACTGGATCTCAGTGGAAATGGTTTCACAGGTAAGGCACTCTTTGACTTGTATCATGTAACAATTTTCTTTTGTACAGATGTATTATGACACAAGTCAGTTGATGTTTTGATGTCACGAATTTAAATGTAGCAAATTGTAACTTTTGACTTGACTTAGAGAAGAAGTTTTCATTTTGCGAAAGTATCGATCATGTTCATCTACTGTGTATTAAGTACCTGCAAACGCGGACTTGGTTCTATGATGACAACACCAAGTTAGAAACAGAGAGGATCTGCAGTATGGCATCTTAGTCATCTAGCTGCGCATATTGCAAAAGTAACAGTTGGAATTATAAACTGCAAATATGCTTGTCGTTTGATACCTTGCTATTAAAAGTTTAGGATGGCTACTTAGGATTTTTCTGCTTCTTTGGTTGGGGGCCTGTCGAGGGTGGACATGCCGCTTTGACAAATGATCTGTAAACATCCTGCCACGGATGATCTTAGCTATCCATCTTCTGCTTATACCTTCTGCCTTGTAATTACTTGATGTTTTGGTGTTAACATCAGTCAAAAGCCAATTTTTAAATGCCGCCAATCAGTACTTGGTCCCTCCAGCTTTTGGCTTGTACTTTTGCCTTTTAAGTGACATTATCGTGAAATATACTGAAAGTGCACTAAAATTATAAAATGTAGGATTACTACATGTTTCTTCTATACTTCCTTTAATTTGTGAGTGATTGAAAAATGATTAAAAACTATACAAGATACAACTGATAAGGGACCAAAGCCAAAAGGTCATGTGCCACAATGGCTTGATGTCTCATCAGCCAGCCAGCTGTAGGTCTTTTCCATAATTCGATAACTTTTCACGTACTATTTTTCCTTGTTTTGGTATTAATAAGTTTTTTTTTTCTCTGGTTATTACATTTATCGGGTTTTACCCTGGATACTTGCATCTATTTTTTACTGGTGGCTACTTTTTCAAACTTGTATATATTGTGAAATGTAGGATTGGATTTGATTATACATTGTCTCACATTTATCATGCATGCAGATTCGATTCCAGAGATTAATTCTACCACGTTGAGGACTTTGAAACTTTCTTCAAATCGTTTATCTGGTTCCTTGCCTGATCTACCAATCACCTGTACGACGGTGGATTTGAGCGGCAATATGATCTCTAGTGACATATCTACCATTCAGAACTGGCAAGCGCCATTGGAATTTCTAGATCTGAGTTCAAACAAACTGTCAGGAACCTTTCCCAATCTGAGCTCTCAATTTGAGAGCTTAATTACCTTGAAAATGGGGAATAATTCCTTACTAGGCGTTTTACCCTCTTTATATGGCAGCTACCAGAAATTGTCTACTGTTGACCTTAGCTTGAATGAATTTCATGGGCCAATTCCAGCTGGGTTCTTCATGTCCACTTTGACTTTCTTGAATCTATCTGGTAATCGATTGACCGGGCCAATTCCTCTTCAAAGTTCACACGTGAGTGAATTGCTAGCTATGCCTTCTTCCCAACAAATGGAGTCTCTTGATCTTTCTGGAAATTCCTTGAGTGGCCCACTGCCTGCGGAGATAGGGAACATGGGGAGGCTCAAATTGCTGAGTCTTGCAAGGAATGGACTATCAGGTCAACTGCCTAGTGAGTTGAGCAAACTTACATATTTGGAGTACCTTGATTTGTCGAGCAACAAATTTTCTGGTGAAATTCCTGTGAATCTTCCATCCAGCCTCGCTGTATTTAATGTGTCACTTAATGAGCTGTCGGGTAAAGTCCCTGATAACTTGCAAAGATTTCCCAGTTCGTCATTTAAGCCTGGAAATCCTTCGCTAGCCTTGGGAAAGCATGCCTCATCACCAAATTCCAATAGCAACCAGTATGGCAATTCGGGTAAACATAACAGCTCGAAAGGTAGTATAAGAGTGGCAATCATTGTTGCCTCAGTCGGGGCTGCAATGATGATTGTTTTTGTTTTATTGGCATATCATCGAGCACAGCTCAAAGAATTTCATGGGAGAAGCGGGTTCAGTGGCCAAAGTTCAGGGAGAGATGTAAAGGTTGAAAGATTTGCACGTCCTTCCCTATTTAAATTCCACTCAAGTGGTCAGCCTCCACCTACTTCATTGAGCTTCTCGAATGACCACTTGCTAACTTCAAATTCTAGATCATTATCGGGGCAAGCAGAGTTCACAACTGAAATTGCAGAGAATATTGCACCTGAGGGAGTGGCAGTTACTTCATCTTCTGCTGTCCCTAATTTGATTGATATTCAGCCTACAACATCAGGAAGGAAGTCTTCTCCAGGATCACCTCTATCTTCCTCACCCCAACTTATTGAGGTATATGAACAGCCTGTACGGTTGGATGTTTACTCACCTGATCGACTGGCTGGAGAATTGTTCTTCTTGGACCCTTCCCTGGCTTTTACTGCAGAAGAGTTGTCACGAGCTCCAGCAGAAGTTCTTGGCAGAAGCAGTCATGGTACTCTATACAAGGCTACTCTTGATAATGGTCATACATTAACTGTGAAGTGGCTGAGAGTGGGACTAGTCAAACATAAGAAAGAGTTTGCTAAGGAAGTCAAAAAGATTGGCTCCATGAGGCATCCTAACATTGTTTCACTGCAAGCATATTATTGGGGACCCAGGGAGCAAGAGAGGCTCCTTTTAGCTGACTACATCCAGGGAGATAGCTTGGCATTGCATCTTTATGGTAAGAGCATTTGCCGCTTTATTCGTTAATATACAGATTTGGTTGAAAGTTATGTGCATATACGTTTGTCAGAGAATACACAAGGTTCATGTATGCACAAGGAAGCATGAATTTGTTTATTTAATTAGTTACTTGAAGATGCAAGCCTGGATTCATACATCGTGCTATTTGTCTATCTATCTGATTTAAATGGTATAATCCATTAACAAACTATATTTATTACCCTAGACATTATATCTTTTCATGTTCACTTTGTAGCTGTGATTAGCATATATTGAGCTCAGTAAATTGCATCACATTAGCTGAGTTTGGCGAGCCATGTAGGTCAAAATGATAAACTATGAAGATTTCCTGACCCTTTTTTACCAGATATGTACATGCATTGTTCACAAGTTTTAAAAAATTTTCGTGTAAAGAACCACAGGATGAAAAATACTTCAATGCAATGTTCTTAGACACGGATTGGAGTGAGAACCATTGAGGGGTCCTGCTGTCAGGTCAATTGGTCGAACCAGTTGAACTGCCGATTAATCTGGTTGGTGTTGTCATCACAGTTTGCGTACAATGTACGTATTGCCAATATTTTTAACCTGCCCTCAGTTAGGATGGTGGTTGTGAAGTGCCTTTCGATGAGAAATGAGGGGTTTGAATCCTCTCATTGGCACTTTTTACCCTTTTTTATTCTCTATTTTAGAAAGCAAGTGTATTCTATATAGGACGGGTGACACACATATGTCAAAGGATCATGTGAGTGTTTTTCTTACAAACCACAAGAAGGATGATCTGTGGTTGAGTGTGGAGGTAAATGTGCTTCTCTTCCACAAGAGCATGGGTTCAAGACCCACCGCCAACATCCATTTCTCTTGTTCAGAAATTACACCCCATGTACTGGATTGACCAGGTGACTGGGTTTGCCAGTTGAAACAGCTAAATTGGTTCTATCTGCAAGGCGATTTGAGCTTTAATAGGCTGGTTCAATGTGGAACCGGAGGCTGTTCTTGTTCAGAAGTGCATTTGGGATTTCTTGTTCTGAAGCAGAAGAAGCTACTCATCTTTTTCCTAGGTTTTCAAATAGCATACCCCCCAAATATCGAAATCTGTGAGTTGTTGATGCCTTATGATTACACCGAAGGGTCTAGTCCAGCTCTGAGTCTATCGTATCTCTTTCTTTGTATTTCTAAGCTTCAGCTTATCTGAAGCTGCTGACTTTGCTACAGTCCCTATCTTTAAAATGAGTCCTTTTGTCAAGAAATGTTAAAGGTAGGATAGGACCAAATTAAGGACTTGAACTGATGAAATGGTTGACTTGGGATCCCATTTATGTGCTCTTGGTCACGGTCTTTGAAACTGCATCTCCATTTATCTGCCTAATGCCATCTATGAGCGACTCTTTTTTCTTGCATTCTATGTTTCCTTATGTTCTCATGATTATAAATAGCTCTTGACAATCATGCTTTGGATGAAATAGAAGGCTAGCCAAATCCTCAATTTTTTCCAATCAACCTTTGTATAACTCTTTCAAATTAACTTTCCTGGAACACCATATTCAGGAAGTAGGAGATTTGTGTAGATGGTCTAAGAAGAGTTATATTTTGATAATGATTAATGTTCCTTGTCCCTTTGACAAACAAGATAATTATCTACCAATTCTGATGATGCTAAGAAAGTCTCTAGGGAACTTTCCATGTGATTCTATGGGTGACCATTAAGTTGACAATGTGAAAGTTTACTGGGAGAAAAGATGCATCTAAGCAACACAACGCAGACCGTCCCAAAACTCCCTCACGTTAGTTGTACCATGGTGCCCAACTTCTTTTCAGAACGGATCTGACACTGCTTGAGGTCACCACGCAACATCTACCATGGCTTCCATCTTTCTTTACTGGATTGCATTATTTCCAACATCTTGAAGACTCAAATAAACTACATACTTGAAAGAGATTCTAAATTTGAAGAAATCCACTTCTTATCAGTTGCAGAAGAATCTATGAAATAGTTAGTGGCTTTTTCATTTGAGTTCTCATTTCTGTGAGCTTGTATATATAATTCACTGTTTGAGTGTACTTATACCGAAGCGGGAGCCTGAAGGGGCTCTCATTTCAAGATCTTATCTTTTATTCATAATTTTTCCACAACGGAAAATCATCAAATCAGATGTGGGACCACTTAAGTGGAAGTGCATCTGTCTCTGGTAGACATGTTCTTTGGCTCTCACGAGAATATCACTTGTGGGTGATGTTTGAACAATATCAATCATGTGGTTCTGTCTGCCCTGGGGCAACATCCAGCTGTTGGTCTACTTGATTATTTCTATAACATAACGAGCTAATAATAGAAAAACTGACTTTGTTTAACTTCCCTCCGATCTTCAACTTGTTTTTTGATTTTGATTAACAAGTTGGTAATGGTGCATCCACTTCTGCCATAGGATGCTTTATGGGAGATAGTGAAACTGCATCAAAATTTTTAGTGCATAACCTAAATGTTAACACGATATTGGCAGTAGTCCTAAATTTTCCCTTCACTGAAATCATTTTGGCTTCGGCATATGGTTCTTGAATTAAGCGAAATAAGTAGATCGTGTTTAGTTACCTCATCTCATTGCTTGCATTTCCTATTCGCAATTTATTTTGTCATCTTACCAGTTGTGACGTGATTTTGATCTGGTTTTCTGGTTATATTCCAATATATGTCCTATCCAGAAACAACGCCCCGGAGGTACTCCCCATTGTCGTTCAGCCAAAGGCTAAAAGTTGCCGTCGATGTTGCTCGATGTCTCACATACCTTCACGACAAGGGTCTTCCTCATGGAAACTTAAAGCCAACAAATATACTTCTGTCGGGCCCCGAGTACAATGTTCTCCTCACAGATTACGGTCTCCACCGCTTGATGACAGCTGCTGGGATTGCAGAGCAGATACTGAATCTCGGAGCATTGGGGTACCGTGCTCCTGAGCTCGCTACTGCAGCCAAACCGCTGCCATCCTATAAGGCCGATGTTTACACGTTTGGAGTAATTATGATGGAATTATTGACTCGGAGAAGCGCTGGAGACATTATTTCAGGGCAATCTGGAGCCGTTGATTTGACCGATTGGGTTCGCCTTTGTGATGAAGAAGGGCGAGGAATGGACTGTGTCGATCGGGACATTGCAGGTGGAGAAGAACACTCTGCAGCGATGGACGAGATGCTCGCGATTTCGCTCAGGTGTATTAATTCTGTAAATGAAAGGCCTAATATTAGACAAGTCTTTGACGAGCTGTGTGCAATCTCTCTCTGAAAAGTGTACATTGTGTGTGTTGGAAGTTAGGTTTTTATTATGTTTTTTCTCTCTGTTTTTTTTTTTTTTGCTTTTTTACTTGACCCAATTGTTTTGTTCCTTATTTTTCCCTCTTAATTGGTTTCCAGCCTTGTTATTTTTGGCTAATTATTACATCTTCCTTTTACGGAAAGCTCATTGTAAAGGGATGATTCATCCATTGATTTATTCAAGTGTTCTAGTTTGATCGTAACAGCAGAAATCTGTTGCCAACGTTTTGGTTTTTGTTTCATGTTCGCCAAGGTGGAACTTTTTGCACTCGTTCATCCGTTCAGTCCATTGATAACACAACATGGGACGATGAGGCTTTATAACGATGGGCGCGCGCACACATGTATTTGCAATCATGTATTTGCAATCAAGAACTCCAAATACTTTTTATCTGTGCAATCAAGTCACGTTGCATCGATGATAATCGTCCTTTTTACAGGAAATCTAGAAGAGGGAGACGACGGTCACATAGTCTCCGGCATGCCTCGCTTGGAAGGTGCGAGGACTAAACGAGGGTTGCCGAAGAAATGGAGGATGCCGGCATGGCCGTCGCGCATTAAATTTAGATGTAGTGATCACTGATCAGTCCCCCTCGCTCTTGAATTCTTTTTCCCTTAGCTTTTCCCTATTGTTGATGTGCCCCCCTTATTGAGGCACCACATGTATTATAGAGACCATAAGCTAAAATATTTTTGAACGAAACTATCGGAATATTTGTAAAGGTAAAAAGGTAATAAAAAAATAGCACTATCTTTTGTTGATTTAAAAAATTGATTGAAACGAAATGATATTCTAAAATTTGTATGATAGAGTGACTATGAAAACTTGCGAACAGTACCAAAGGCTAATTTGACTTTGTTATGGAAAGTTGAGAGATTAAATTGAACAAATTAAAAGTTTAAGGATTAGATTGCATGTTTCACAATAGTTTAGGCGCTTGTGGTGACTTTCTCCCTTGTTTGATCAGAACAAAGGACTACATTAGACGTTTAGGAATAGTTAAATAATAAATAACACATTTAATGAATTAAAAGTTCAAGAATGACATTACACATTGAGTCAAATTTTATGGATTATTAATGTAATTTTTCATATAAATAATCCCTTGAATCCTAGGTAATTAGAAAGTATCCCCAAATAAGACATGTAATCTAATAATTTATTCTTAAATGATAAACAAAAGGGTTAATACCACCAAAAACCTCAAACCGGTACACTTGAGATAAATTTGTCCCAAACTAATTTTTTGACCACTAAAAACCCCAAACTGGTGCAGCAAATTTACCCTATGATAGTTTCCGTTAAATTTTACCATCAAATTGCTATATTTGATGACACGTGACAGTCGATAGGTGTACTAGTTTAGGGTTTTACCCTCCTTTTGTCACAGGTGTACCCGTTTGTGATTTTTCGTTATATTAATCTAATTTAACGGAAACTAACGGAGGGTAAATTTGTCACAAATGTATTAGTTTGGGGGTTTTGATGGTCAAAGAATTAGTTTAGGGTAAATTTGTCACAGATGTATAAGTTTGAGATTTTTCGTGGTATTAACCCTTTACAAAATCACTTAAAATAATTGAAGCTTTTTAATCTAGAATCCGAAAGATAAGGAGACGAGTAAGTGAAAATAATCTTAAATCCATCTCTTGACCTTATCAGATAATTAATTTAAAATGTAAATAAATCACCTAAGATTTTACAAAAATGTCTTAAACTCAATCATATCACAAAATAAAATAAATCAAACTCTTGGACATGATATTCTCCTGCATCAAAGAGATAAGGTTGAGGAGTGGGTGTGAGTAAGATAAGGGTGAGGGTAAGACCAAGTCATAGATAGGAAGACAATTTTGCTAATGTGAGAATGCAAATACATATTTTTCTTCGCCGAAAAGTGTCGATGAAATACCTTTCAGAATATGAAGCGATCAATACGAACCAGTAAAAGTTGTGAAGGGTCCTTTGTTGATTTTTGCACAGGAAATTTAACTGATGAGAAAAGTAAAAGTACCGAGACCGGAAACAATTGTTGCCAGTCATGTGGAATGTTGTGCAAATGTAAAGATAAAGTGGTAGAAAAAATGAACAACTTAGTGTTCTTTGGTGTTTTTTTGGATTGGAGGTGTTCTTTGGTTGATTGATAGTCTTTTGTATAGACTATAATTCGGGCATTTATACCTACTATCAACATTTTGCAGCGGTTACAAAAAAAATTAAACACTCTATAGCTCCTACAATCTAACAATTTCTATCTACAAATGTTTATTTAGAAATAATCGACTCCAACTACTCGATGGTTGTATCTTCTCCACTCCTCACGATTGCCATTATTAGTTGCTTCCAAAATCTTCGGCTCCACTACTCGACAATTGCACCGAATCCACTTCTTTATCTTTCAATACTTTGCTCCAAGACGTAGCCATTTTCACCAATTCCCCCATCAGGTAAAACTAGTTTTCTTATCATCCAACTCGGTTTGTCGACTAGAGGCTCTCAACACTAAGCCATTTTTCGCCTATATCGTTTCTTACCTGGCCCTTGTCCACCAAGTAGTCGATCGAGGACTTGGACGGACATCTTTTGGTGTCAACAATATTAAAACACACAAACATGTCATTGGGTATCTTGGTGAAAATTCACGATGTTTTTCTTATTTTCCCTGTTAAATTTGAGTCCAGGTTTCTTCTAAAGGCCGCCGGAAGTACCCGAAAGAGTTATTATTACTATAGTTCTAAGTGCATGTAATTTGGAGCCAATAAACCTGGAAAAAATTCTTGAGGATGGATATGAGCTGTCATTTGGATTTGGTAGCTTGTTGGGTGGCAATTTATAATTCGCAAGCATTTGCAAGCTTTCACATTGTGCAGCGTCATGAGTTACGTGGGTTGACTTGCTTTCTTCCCAAAGCGGATAAAAAAAATATAACTGAAAGTGCATTTGCCTGCTAAACGTATAGCATGAGAACAACTACAATTATAAGAGAGATTAAAACTAAGGCTTTGATAATAAATTTTGCAGACGTGAATCCTCTATCCCGTACGATACTCTCATGAGTACTAAGCGTGGATATATTTAATTGAAAAGGCAAATGGGGCCAGGAAAGATTTGAATTAAGGACCCTCAGCTCTGATACCAAGTTAAGAATAATATTGCGGAAGAGAGAATCGAGCAATTTTAGTATAATTTGATGATGAAAAGATAAGGAATACATGAACCTATTTATAGGTTTTACAGGTCAACTATCAACGGTAACAAAATATTACGCAATCAATTACAATCAATCACTAAGATATCCAGAACATTAAAGATATCCAGGATATTATGTAGATATCGAGAATATTATAAATATCTGTAATATTATGAATAATCTAAGATGATCTAAATATATATAACAAGTATCTTTCAGCCCATCTCATCTGTTGATGTGTATCGACCCCTTAAAGGGTCGACTGGTTGGAGCATCACGAATTTCTAGTTCAGGAATTAGAGATCACTCTCTCAAATACCATCTACGGTTTGCAAGCTGCTCTGGTGATTAATTCCTAGGTGATAGTTGTTAGTTACGTCAAGGGTAAGTTCCAGGTTTCAAAATTAGAGAATCTGTTTCGACGGGTAGGTTATAAATTCTAGGTAAGTGGAACCTATAATCTAAAACCTGAAACTTGAAATCTTAAACAAGTTTTTTTGTGTTTTTCTTGGTTTATATCTTCGCGTGATCCTGTGGTGTTCCATGGCGTTAAATAATGAGCGTATACTCTGAAACCACTAGTATGAGTTTTCATTTTATGACTTGTTAATGTTTTATATTTTTCGTGTCTAAATAAAAGTTGTGGTTAGTGGATCGTAACAGCAAGTAATAGTCATTAAAGGTGACGATTTACTACAATTGTTCAAAACTCGGGTAGACTCTAGAATCGACTCTGGAACCTGTGACAGGGTAGGTTTCAGGTTTCAAGGTACGTAAGGTAGGTTCCAGGTTCTAAAAAAATGATGAACCTATTCTCATGGGTAAATTTTAGGTTTCAAGTAAAATCTGTACGGAATCTGAAACCGCTCACTTCCGATCACAATGCCCAGTCCATCGACCCAAGGAGAGCTTGAAAAATGATTTAATAGAGAGAGAGAAAAAAGATTGTGGGGGTGAAATGGCAAGCATCGACTGTTGAGACCAATTCAAGCTCTTGTATCGATAAAACCAAGGGATTGTTGTTAGCATAGTGGGAGATGTTTCCTAGGAAGACCAGCAATCCAAATCACATCAGTACAAAAGAGAGTTAGATAATACGTTTCTGCTGATTGCACATACTTAAAGCAGATTACAAGTTCTCAGCTTACCAACTTCGGGGTTTTTCGTTGGTATTCCATAGAAAGATAAGAAGGTACATCGCTATAGTTTTGTATGGCTTCTTTTCAGGGGAAGAACAGCAGAAGTGCCAAAAGTTATGTACGGAGCTCACTTTGGTGCTAAAAGTTCCATTTGGATCACTTAAGTGCCAAATCGGAGGAAAAATGATCACTTTGGTGCCAACGGCGAGAGATTCCGGCCAAATTAATACGTGGCATTTATAATTAAATTTTTAATCTTAGTTTGATTTTTTTTTAAAAAAATTAGTCTATGTGGTATTTTCACGTATATATTTCGATTTTTTAAATACTTTTCTAAATTTTTTTCTTTTTTTTCTTTTTTTCTTCTCCCTTTGGTCACCGCCGGTGACCGGAGGCCGGCCACCGGCCGCTTGGCCTCGCCCGGACGAGGCCGTCGCCGCCCACCACAGGCGAGGCCCGGCCGACCCTCGCTGGGCGACGGCGGGCAAGCCCGGCGAGGTCGGCCTCGCCTCGCATGGGCGAGCCCCGACGAGGGCTCCTCGCCGGATCCGGCGAGGCCGGCCGTCGCCCGGGCCATGGCGGCCCCGCCGGCGTCGCCTTCCCGGCGACGTCCGGCGGGCATCATCGTGGCTCGAGCGACGGCCGGCCTCGCCGGATCTCGCGAGGGAGCCTTCGCCGGGCTCGCCTCGCCATGCGAGGCGAGGCCGACCTCGCCGGGCTTGACGGCCGTCGCCCGAGCGAGGGTCGGCCGGGCCTCGCCCGTGGCGGCGGCGCGACCTCGTCCGGCGAGGCCAGCGGCCGGTGGCCGGCCTCCGGTCACCGGCGGTGACCAAAGGGAGAAGAAAGAAAAGAAAAAAAGAAAAGAAGGAAAAA